AAAAAATTAGGCTATTTAAGAAACATTTAAGCGCCTGCCTTCAAGGTCTTTATGTAACTTTAAGTTTGCAAAGCCAAAGACCTATTAAATACTTTCATAATTTTGAACGTCCATGTTTCAGGAAACAATGAGCTAAGACTTACATGTAAGATGTCTAAATCTACGCCATATATCCCTTACAAACCCTAACGACAATTCGCTGAAATACCAGTTAGCCAGATATGTCAATAAGCAAACAAACGCTAGAGTTAATATTTGATATGCTGATTTTCGCTAATTTTAGACACATCCCAAAATATGCTCCCGATTTTGAACATTAATATCTCCGTGAATTTTTAAGTAAAATACAACTGCAATATATCAAAATCTAAGTTAGTCCTTCCTCTATTTAATTCAAGTTATTTCTGTTTCATAGCTATACTTGTTTAGAAGTTATTATAAATCAAACCGGAGTACTTTTTTTTGGGACACCCGGTAGATTTGATTGACATTTTGTCAACATTAGTAGTCTGAACCACAGAATAAAGATTCCACACAGTACTCCCACTCAAGTCGGAACCTTTGATGTAAATGTCCCCGCGCATGTCGCCTCGTGCATCACGGCCATTTTCCCAGCAAGTAAAAATGGAGGATTTTATATTGAGTTATTAGGGAGTTAACTGCAAAAAGTGGATTTTCAGTGACGATTTCCTTCTAAATCATCAAACAATCGATGACTTATTTAAAAAGAAGGTATGTGGTCTTATCTAGTCTCATTTACATGCAAAGAATATTTAAAGTTTTGAAGCTGTAATTTAACAATTTAGAATTTTAGTGCGGTGTTTGTCGTCACCAAGATACTATTCATAGTTAGCTCTGAGTTATTTTTATATTTTTCTTTGTACATTAGCAATGCAAAATATATTCTTACCTGAAAAATTTGTATAATTGCTTTGCTTAATTTTGAAAGATGTCATGCTATGTCATACCGTTTCTGGTTGGTAATTGGCATATTAAATCCATTGCAAGCACAATTTCAAGAAATACAAGAATCATATGTATTGTTGGAGATATGTAATTGGCTGGCTGATTACTGATTAGTTGTATACTAAGACTTAAGTTGATCAGTACACTTTGCTTTTAGATTTTTCAAATTATTTAATATCCATTTTAGTTTAATATTAATGATACTGTTCTTGCATGCACTTACCAGTATATCAAAACTGTCTGTACCAGTGTTGGTAGCAACAATATGAAAATGCTGTGCTGAGTGGTTATATTACTACCTTAAAAAATAAGCAGAAGCTCGACGTTTCGAGCGAAGGCCCTTCGTCAAGCAGGTGCTGCTACTAACTCTTGACGAAGGGCCTTCGCTCGAAACGTCGAGTTTCTGCTTATTTTTTAAGGCAGTAATATAACCACTCAGCACAGCAACTTACCAGTATACCACTTTAATATAATAATATCCTTTTTTCAGTTTGAAAGATCACAGATGAAACAACTTCCATGATTTGATTTGATCAACTTCTACAAACATTAACTTTGAACTTTAATTGTAACAATTCAAAATGGGAACATTTTGTAATCTGGACATTTTTTATCAATATAGACACATGGTGACAAAGTGTCTGTGATGAATATGTCTTCTATAGTAAATCTAGTTGTTCCACATATCGAAGAAATTGTGCGGTTGTGCACACTTTTTTGCAGTTGTGAAAACGCACAACTGCAAAACCTCTACCTTTAAGCCTGAAAAGCACAATAGACATGCTTATGTCTCTTTCTTAATGGTTCTATTCCTAATTATGCCTTGCATTGTGGGATTTGCCATTCTACATTATGCATTTATGCGTGCCCATTGTTTTTTTCGCATGTGTTATAGGTTAAGATTATGACTTTGAAAAAACAACCATGGATAACTGAATTGGCTATAGCATGAATGAGATCAAACATGCCACATTTAATATCTATATGCAATTCACTACTGTCAATTATTTTATGTGTACATTATAGTATATAGACGCTTTTCCATATAATAAACTGTTATAGAATTCTAACAGTCTACACTATTGCCTGTCTCTATAACCTTCATTTGCCAACATGATATAATAAAACAGCTTGTTATACTGCCCAGCTTGTTATACAGCCCATGGCTGCTGAAGCATAATTTAAGAGGTCAAATACACAATTTGTGCATATTTTCAGAATTCAAAAAGTGAGAGGTCATGCATGGACACTAAACCTTGATTCTTTTGAACATTCATAACCTCAGCTCCATGCAACATTTTCAATGATGGCAACTATATATCGAACATCTCGGCAAAAGTTAGGCCATCAAAGCTAACGACTCAGCTTTATGATCCTATAAAACAATTACAAAGGGATATACATGAAATGTTTTTGAAGCTTTTCAAGATTAAATTATATAAAAACATGTCTTTTGGTAATACAGTATTTTATCCCAATGAACCTTAATCCTTCAATGCTATTTAATAGGAATATGATGTATATAGACCATCTAAAAAAGCAAGAGATGTCTGACTTCAAGTTTAATATAAGTAGATCCAAAAGACCGAAATATATAAAATTATGCACAAATTATCCACTTCCCTCCTCAATAACATAACAGTGAAACGTCGTGATAACTTTTAGTGAATTCTTAACATATTTCTTTCAAAAACCCCAAAAGAAAAGACACGACTGCTATTCAATGGTCGCCATTTTGATTTTGATTTCATAAGAATTACGTAATTTTTGCAAAAAAAATGACGTAATTCGTCATTTTGTGTTTTACCAAAGAGCAAACTTGCAATCAGTGACAAAACCTTTCCGGACACGTAAATCTTTTTCATCATTTTTTATACAATTCCCTGAAGACAGCGCCTCGCCCCCGCCGCCCGCTTCAATGTTGGTTAAGGGCAAGTTCACTTGGTAAAAAGCCTTTAGACAGCCAACATATATAATAAATTAGCCAAATTTTTGTTATTCAACATTGAACGAGGGGGAGGGTGCGTATATCGCAGAATTAAGTCTAATGTTCGGTCAGAGTCGGTGGCACACAGTGGCCCCACCGACGAATAAAAATATTAAAGCTGCTGCAGTGTTTTTTGTATCGCCTTTCAGGGAATTCAGGTCGGTTCACTTCAAATTCAGTGGGTGCAATGAACACACTGGGAGAAACAGTTAATATGCTGGAATAGAAAGCAATTTGACAAATCACAGTATTAATAATGACTGCTCCCTTCGGTTAAACATAACATATATTATTTTACAAGAAACTACTGAAATTGCGAACTACAGTCCTAATCCTTTCGATATCAAATTCGTTGAAAGGCATGTCTTCGTTTCTCCCACTATTCAAACGTTATGTTATTGTGAAATCATTTAGCTGTATTATAAAATAACTCTCTAGGCCAAGCTTGATATGTCTAATAAAAGTATCCTCAAGCATATTGTTGTTCTATGTAAGATAGTGCGAACGAAGCAATCACAATCTTTATTCATTAAGCGCCATTATTCATACACATATTTATGAAATATTCTCATCCAAATTTCAAAGTATATTTACTGTAATCAATCAAATGGAACGAATGAACTTTAAATATTCACTCACCGATTCATCATCATCCATGAGAACTGTCAAGTATCTGTATAATTTTACGCGTATTAAGAAGGGAAATAATCTATCCAAACCTGACGTATATTTCTATGTCGTTTAGCTCACGGGATCTCTCTTGACTTCCAAGAATATGATTGGATCGAAAATGCATAGCGTGTGTTACCAGGAAACTCAGAAATCATGGGGAAACCCCGATATGTAAACTGCAACCTTTAACTTGGTATTGTATTTCATTATCACCGAACTTTTATGCTAATTACCGTATAACTGTATCGTAAAATTAACATCAATAAGGATATATGATATAAAGAACATTAGTATATTCAAGATAATTCAAGAGAAATATATTTTAAACATGAGCAATTACAGAAGGATTCACACATTCAGTAGTGCATGTGCTCGCGTGTGTGTCTATAGCATTAAGCAGTTTACGTTTGTAAGACG